ACTTCCAGATATGGCCGACTGGCACAAACGCTGAAGAACTCCAAATATCAGCAAAGAATTTTAAACGTAGAGCAGAGTAGCTTCTGCCCGCTAATGTTTGGATGCACCGGTGGCGCTGCTCCAACAGCCACGCGAACGATGCAGCGATTGGACGAAAAACTAAGTGAAAAAAGACAAGAAAGCTATCCAGAATCTTTAAACTACATGAGAACTAAAATAAGCTTCGCGCTCCTGAGGAGCTCTATACTTTGTATAAGGGGGGTGCAGATCGCTACGCAAAGTTCAATTTATCGACAACTCCAAAAGCGCTATTGTTTAGGTAGGACGGCTAAGATAAATTAACATTACGACGATGCATTTAATGCTGATTTATGACTTCATTGCTGATATATATGCATTTTTATATCGCTGGTATGGCCCTATCCAGCTTTTGCACTTACCGTAACCAAACGGAAGGGCCCCTTTTGTAATTTAGTTTTTTTTTCTTGAAACAAGACACAAATACCAAGACAACAGAAACAGCGGCCAAGAAACGGATACCGTTTATTCTGCAACAAAGGGGCAACAAAAGTGACGTTTTCTCTAAGCGTCTCCGAAAAACGGCGAATATTTCTGTGATCTTCACAACTAGACAGATGAAGACAGCCTTACCATCGCTGAAACCACAAATACCCGCGAATGTTCGTGGTAACGTGGTTTACGAAATCACTTGTTCTAAACAACCCGCCACCTAGCCACGAGAGTGCACGAACATTCTAAAAGGAGTAGCCCAGCAGGAGAACAACTCAATTTGTGTGGTGTTACCATTGACAGCTGCGAAGTAAAGATCATTGACACAGCAAGAGATTCCGCTAAACTTTTAACCTTGGAAGCATTGCATATCAACCAGAGAAAGCCTTCAATCAACCGGAAGGAAGAGTACCGAGTTGACCCTGAAGCTGTAACATTGTTACATTGTCCCACATTCCAGTGGCTTGTTCCAATCAAACTTGTTTATCACAGTTCTGCCTGTTTTTAATTGCTTTCCAGTTTTTCCTTTATTTTAATGTGCTTTTAATTTGAACAATTTTTCTATTTTTCAGTTGCTGATGCTGACATAAGGTCGAAAACGTTTTATCTTTGATGTTTTTTCCCTGAGAACAAGGAAGATAATTGAAATATACATAAACATTACTCAGAAAAAAATCATTAACACAATGTGAGGTGCCAAATAAGTTTTATAGAGATCGATTTGTAAGGTGCCGATAAGGATTTGGCCGAAAAAACAATCACATTCTGAAATTAAACGTAGAAAACACTCATTCAAAAACTGGTGTAATTATTGCCGTAGATACGGACATAGCATCGCCGAATGCAGACAAAAACAACAAGATAAATCAAATTGACTTCTAAAACACAAGGAGCCAAACAAATCGTTCTGCCAATATAAGAAAAAAAAATTACCAAACGAAATCATTCAAAGTAATAACACTTCAGGAAAACAACTCATATCTACTCATGGTAATAACACACAACAATTTCACATTCTAATAACTCTCTTGGACGATCACCAGATAAACGAAACTCACAGTATTATTCACAAAATAGATACAGTAGATCAAATAGTCAGAATGATCAATAACGAAACATTTATTTCAAATCAAACTGTAGTAGAAGTAATTACTCTAACTATTAAAGGAACCGCTCCTATTCAAACCCTCAAAACAGATACTATTATAACTCCGGTCAAGGAACTCTTCAATTAA